GGGGGTGCTCTGGGAATTCAGAGGGGGTGGGCATTGTATGGGCTACAGGGGCAGGTTTGGGATCACAGATAGGGTGGGTGAGGACAGCACCCTCCAAGTGGCGCATGGCCTTCTCTTCAACTTTTGAGCTTGGTTTTTTTGGGTTTTTTTTACTTGGAAGTAGTTTTAAACTTTCAGAAGAGTTGAAAAAATAAAGTAGCACACAGAACATCCATATACCCTTTACCAGATTCACCTGTTATTAACAGTACACCCCACTTGCTTTATAATGATGAAGCATATATATATATATATACACACACACACACACACACACGTGTGTACACACACACACAATACACTTGTGATTTTTCCCTGAATCATTTGAGGGTCAATTACATGCATTATGGCCCTTTACCCTTAAACACTTCACTGTGTATTTCCTAAGATTAGGGATATTCTTGCATGAAATCACATAATAACTGTCAACTTTATACATTTAGATTGATACAATATTAATCTAGTTTAGTTCTGATTTTATCAGTTGACGCAGGAATGTTCTTTAGAGCGTATTTTTACCCTGCAGAACAAGATCCAAGCTAAAATCACGTCTTGCACATAGTTGTCCTATCTCTTTAGCCGCCTTTGATCTGGAACATGGAGGAAGTTTCCTTTTCAAGGTGATTCATTTTTCACCCCATTGAAAGAGCGAGAACAGAAAAAGAAGTCCTCTAACAAATAGTGAGAGTGGTGGTTAAGGGACTTGGAGGCAGTCAGATCTCAATTTGAGTCCTGTTTACGCCATTACTGCTCTATGATTTTTATGTCACAGCTACGAATACTTATTAGATGCATACTAAGTAGCTGGCACCATGCTGGTGCCAGAGATTCAGAAACAAGAGATGGGGAAAACAGAAAATCAGCACGAAAAGAAATCCTGGAATAAATCCAGATAATGATCATCAGGGCTATGAAAGGGGAAAACCAGGGTGATACATATTGTAACTAATGGAAGGGGAGGACAATTGTGGGGTGACCCCTCCGAGGAGGTGACATTTGAACTGAGGCTTGCACAGTGAAAAGAACACAGTCATGTGAAAACCTGGGAGGACCAGTGTTCCAGGTAGAGGGAATGGCATATGCAAAGGCCCTGACGTGGAAAGGAGCTTGGTGACTTTGAGAAACAGCAGGGAGGTCAGTGTGGCTGGAGCAGAGTGACCAGGGGCAACGTGTAGATGAGGGCGGGAGGGAGGCAGGAGCCAGAACATGAAGGGCCTTGGTAAGGGGTTGAATTACTCTTAGCCAGTGTCACCTCACTGAGCCTCAGTTTTCTGATCTGTAAAATAGGACTCCTAATAGTAACAATTGCTTAGGGTCCTTATGAGGTTTAAGGAGAAAATAAATGGTGCGGTGGGCTTAGCACAGGGCTTGGCATATGGAAGGTATTTGGTACATGTGACTGGCTGTTACTTGTGAGACCAGGGAGGGAGGGAAATGAGTGGCTCAGAGTTCCTTGATGACTGGGGGTTGAGCTGTAGGTGAAGCATCTGACACTAGCCCCCTTGCCCCATCAGGTTACCCCGGTTTCCAAGCCACAACCTACGCCAGCCGGAGTTATACAGGCCTCGCTCCTGGCTACACCTACCAGTTCCCCGGTAAGTCCTGTCTGTCTGCTGCCAGCATGTCCCCGGTTCCAGGCAGTCTGACTCCTCAGGGCGGTGTCTGGGGTGCATGGCTGGGGCTGGGGGCGGGGGCTGCCTGCCGGAGGCTTGGAAGGAAGGGCATGTCTGAGGAAGGAGCACCTCCCCCCACCCATCCCCTCCTCACCCCCTCCCCAGAAGCTGGGGGCGGGAGCTCCAGCGTGGCCCTGCATGGCACCCTTTACTCCCAGGCCTTCTCTGCCTGCCTCCTGTCTTTCTCTCCTCCCCAGCCCCCTCCGGGGTTGCCAGTTCCACCAGAGAGGGCACTGGGCTTGTGTTAGAGGGCACATCGGTTGTGTCTTTCTGGGCACATGTGTAGTGAACATGTGCTATGCTGAGCCTTCCAAGGCCAACAGGACCCTTTGAGACCCCGAATGCTGAAAAAACGATCTAAAAGCGTGATGATCACCACCCTCATTTGTAATTCAAAAATAAAAATAACACTAGGCCTTCAAATAAGTGGCGGGGAGCCCAACAAAGTTCTGAATTCTCCCGTGATGACTATTCAATGTTGTTTGCTTTGAAATATCAAATATCATATTTTTCCAAGGTTTCTTTTTTTTCAAATCTTATTTTTTAGAGGGTCCCTAAGCACATGCATCATTTGCCTCTTAGGCTGCCCAGCTTGGAATCCTGTGTACACACTATGTTGTCTGATCCTGACAACAATCTCATAGGGGGATGCTGCTGATCCCCATTTTATAGGTGAGGAAACGGGCTCAGAGGAGAGAGGCGACTTGCTAAGATGGCTCAACTAGAAAGTGCCGGAGCTGGGAACCCAACCCGAGCCCGACTTGCTCTAGGGTCATCCCTTTTCACGAATGCTGCTTCCCCAGTCCCCCCCAAAAAAAAATAGGATTCTAGGGGGTGTGGTGATGAAATCTTAAGGCTTTTAAGAAACACCAGGATTTGTAGCTCCGTGCCCAGGGTATAGGTGGCAACTCTGCTCACTCTTTCTGTGTCTGTCTGTCTCTCCTCTCTGTGTCTGTGTCTCCTCCCCCATCCTTGCCTGCTGGGGACCATGCTCTCCCCATCCCCAGCTCTTGGGTCCTGTGCATGGCCTGTCCCCCTACCCAGCGTCCCTGTGGGTGCCATGCCTGAGGGGCCTCCCCTGCATCTTCCTAAGCTGTTTTACGTTTCATTTTAGAATTCCGTGTAGAGCGGACCCCTCTCCCGAGCGCCCCAGTCCTCCCCGAGCTTACAGGTCAGTTGCTCGGATTTCATACACATGGGGAGAAAGAAAGACTCAGGGACCTTCCCCAGGGGAGAGCTAGTGGGGCCCTTTTCTCCTGCCCGGCAGCCCTCCAGCTGTGGGGATACAGCAGACTCTGCCTGGGCACTGGCCAGTCTATGTAGCTACATGACCCTTAGGGTGGGGCACAGGGCCAAGCCCAGCAGATGGAGGCAAAGTCGCTCATTTATCCATTTGGCAAATATTTTTCCAGTGCCTCCCATGTGCCTCACACCATGTAGGCTCTGGGACCCAGTGGCGAAGAAGCCAGGGCCTCACACTCAGAGCACAGTGGGCCAGTTGGGGACCTCGATAAACTGGAGTGGGCACGCCTGCTTGTCATGCCAGAGCCGACCCTTGCCGGGAGGAGCAGCACACCCAGTACTTCCATTTTCCAAGAGAAGCCAGAAACCCAGCTTCTGCTTTCGAATGAATTTTCCAATTATTTTCAAGTATTGATAACAAATTCCAAATTTTTAAACCACCGTGGGCCAAATGAGACCTATTCCAGAGGCAAACCTAGCCCTCTGACTGCCCGTTTGCGATTTTGGGGCAAGTGGGATGAAGGTGCTTGGCCACTGGAGCTTTCACTTGGGCCAGTCAGCTCATCTCTGAGCTGGCGGCAAGGCCGAGGGGAGGGGAAGGGTGCGTACAGATGAGGTGGGCTGCCAGGGATTTCTCTGTTCAACCTGCTTCCCCCCTCCCCACCCCACCCCTAACCTGGCCGTGTGTCGAGGATGGATGCTGCTTTAGATGAGACCTTCCTTCCAAGGGGTGCTCAGGGGTCCCCCAGAGTGGAGATGGGGGAAGAGAAACTTGGGGGGAAAGGGGAGTAGAGAGTCCTGGAGGTGGGGGTGATAGAGGATCTTCCCTGAGTAGAGTGGGGCTTTAACCAGCAATGGGGGAGACAGAAAGGGGGTCTTTTCTACTCATCGAAGAACTCTGTGTTGAGGACCTACTGTGTGGGACACTCTGCCAGGCCCTGCTGTCTCAGAACTTGCAGTCTAGATTGGGAAACAAATGCTTACTATACAAATGAGGAATTCTTGACAGTTGCAATAAGCACATGCTTGGACTGGCCATGCTGACTTTGCTTTGTGGAAACGCCTAAAAACAGACCTCATAGCTCAGCCCCTTGCCCTTGAAGAACTGAGGGAAGAATTGTCTCCTCTGCAGATGTCTTGGCAGAGGAGGAGGTCTGTCCTAGAAGTCTGGGGCCTGAACTCTTTTCTTGCCTTCAGGAGACGTGGGTGTTTCGTTCATGCACTTACTTAGTAGATATTTATCACGTCGGATGCTGTTCCAAGCAGTGGAGATACAGCAGTGAGTGAGAGAGGTCCCTGCCCTCCTGGGGCTGATACCCTAGTGGAGCGAGACAGCAGTAAGCGAGTAAACTTGTAAATGAGATACTTTGGGAGGGAGAGAAACTCCACGAGGAAAATAAAACAGATGTGGCAAGGCGTTAGGATTGGAGGTGGGAGATGCCTTAGTGAGAGTGATCAGGGAAGGCTTCTCAGAGGAGGTGACATCGGAGTGAGAAGAAGCCAGCTTTATGAAGCTCTTCAGCAAGACTCCTCTACTGTGCGGGAACCCCTCTGTCCTAGACTTCAATCCTCAGCCCAACGGCCATGCCAGGGATTTTCAGAGGCCTTTTCTGGGGTCCCCAGCTTCAGGTCCAGTTCGAGTTCAGGGTCAGGGTGACTCAAACAGCCCCAAGGGGCGCATTTTGGGGTGGGAGACTGATATTCCTGAGGGCAAATGCCAGCCCTGCAGACCCTGGCTCTGGGAGGAGTTGCAGCCTCCCCGGGGGGCTGCAGTGGCAGAACCAGACAGTAGGGGGCGCTCACAGCCAGCCCCGGGGAGCTCCAGGCTCAAGCCAACCTGTGTTCTTTAAGCGGAGGTCTCTTCTGCTCCTTCAGTGGACATTTATTAAACCCCTACTGTGTACCAGACAGGGTGCTGGGCACTGTGGAGGTGGGGGTGGAGGTAAAAAGCAAACAAGGGAATAGCAGGATCCCTGTGTCTGAAGCTAATGAAGCCCTTTCATCTATGGGAGCTCTTTCTGCCTTGACCCTGGGGCTGCACTGACCCATCTGCGGTGGGGTGAGGCTCTGCCCGGAGGGGGCCTCCGTCATCCACCCCTGTCCCCCACCTGCCGCTCTGAAGTGCCCATACCTTTCCTTTCAGCCATTCCTCTCACCGCTTACGGACCAATGGCGGCGGCGGCGGCGGCGGCAGCTGTGGTTCGAGGGACAGGTGAGCCTTCTGGGGTGCAGGAAGGGAGTCCAGGAGGTGGGGTGGTAGGGGACCTTCCCCGAGTAGAGTGGGGGTGCAGGGGGCAGAGAAGTCTAGAGGGGAGCGGAGGTAGCCACCCCCCCCCTTTTCAGAGGGACTTACGGATTCATCATCTCAAGGAGCATTAACTGAGCCAGCAGGAGGGACTGGCGTGCTCTCTGCCCTCCAGAGCTTACAGGCTGGTGGGGCATCGGGCATTAAAAAGGCAGTCGTTCTGAGGGATGGTACTGCTCCTTGCGGATGTCAGGTTCCAGAGGAGCTCACGGGCCTCTGGGGAAGGCATCCAGGAGGAAGACTTCACTTTCATTTTGAAGGCAAAGAGGAGGAAAAGAGTTCCCGGCAGAGGGAATAGCATGTGCAAGGGCTTGGCCGCCAGTTAGCATGGGTGGACTGCAGGAATGGAGTGCAGGGAGAAAGGTAGGAGGAACCAGGTCCTGGGGGGACACTGAACATTTTAAGCAGCGGAGGGACAGCTGAAGCATGGGGAAAGGCTTGAAGGGGCTCAGGAGGGGAAGCCTAGAGATCAGTGAGGAGGCTGCTGAGTGGTCAGACAGATGATGGGGGCCTGGGCTAGGGCTCGTCGGGTAGATGGGCTTGGAGGGATCTTCAGGAGGTGGGCCCACAGGCCCTGATGGGATGAGGCAGAGGGAGGGGTCAAGGTCGGGGCGGGCGGAACAGGTTTGAAGGCTCCGGGGCTATCACCTTCTTCTTTCTGGGTTGCCAGGCTCTCACCCCTGGACGATGGCTCCCCCTCCAGGTTCGACTCCCAGCCGCACAGGGGGCTTCCTGGGAACCACCAGCCCCGGTCCCATGGCTGAGCTCTATGGGGCAGCCAACCAGGACTCGGGGGTCAGCAGTTACATCAGTGCTGCCAGCCCCGCCCCCAGCACTGGCTTTGGCCACAGCCTTGGGGTGAGTGGCTGGTCCTGGAGGACCCCCCAAAATTGGAGGAGGGAAAGGCCTTGTCTGTCTGTGGGGCAGAGGGAGGTGAGGGGTAATGAATGGGGAAAGTGTGTCACCAAGAGGGAAGATAAGTCCTCATTCATTCAGCGGGCATTTAATGATTGCTCTCTGTATACCGGGCACTAGGTGGGCTCTGGGGATATTGTGCCAATAAGACCCACCATCTCTGCCCCAACAGAGGGTAGGTTCCAGCTCAGCAGGGTTGCAGGGGAGGCTCTAATTTTAATAAGGGTACTGGTTGTATGCAGGTCCCCAACCCTACCCTGGAGAATCTTTCAGTGGGTCTGCAGTGGAGTAATATGGGCAGGACCAGAGAAGGGTCTGTGCCTCACCTCAAGTGTCCTGTGGGAGAAAAGGAGCCCCTGAGCTTTCTCTGCTCCCCTCGGGGATCTAGGAGTCAAATTCTTGTCTTTCCAGGGCCCCTTGATTGCCACAGCTTTCACCAATGGGTACCACTGAAGCAGGAGACAGGTGGCAGGAGGTGAGGAGATGGGCAGGCGCCTTGGGGTAGGGATGACACTGGGGAGGCTGGTACTGGCAGCCCAGTCTGGGACATGGACCCTGTCCCTGCCTTCAGAGAACCCATCATCCATTGGGGGGGGGGGAGACAGACCTTCACACCAGCAATGGTCAGTGAACATGAAAAGTAGTTCAACCTGCTACATAATAAATGTAAATGAAAACAATAAGGCAGCACCTTCTACCTATCAAGCAAAGATTTTTTTATTTTATTATTTATTTATTTAAAATATATCTTTATTGATTTCAGAGAGAGGAAAGGAGAGGGAGAGAGAGAGATAGAAACATCAATGATGAGAGAGTCATTGATCAAGCCCGCAACCAGGCATGTGCCCTGACCAGGAATCGAACCCCGATCGCCTGGATCCTAGGCGGATGCTCAACCTCTGAGCCATGCCCGGCAGGGCCACAAGCAAAGATTTTTTAAAGATTGCTAATGCCCAGCATTGCTGAGGGTGTAGGAGAAACTGTGCAAATAGGCTCAGGGTTTCCAAAAGGCTGTCTGGCAGTGTCTATCCAGGTTTTAAACATTTGTCCCCTTGACCCAACAATTCCACTTCTAGGCATTTATTTTTAAAACTGCAAATAACTGAATTGCCATCCAAAGGAGAGTGGTTAAATACGTGAGAGTGTATGCATGCAATGGAACATTACACAGCTATTAAAGCAGACACGTTGACAGGTGCACGGATACAGAGAGAGGAGAGCCCTGTACGCAGCCACCACGCAGTGTAGCCAGATGCTGGGTACCATGTGAACCCGTCGTGACCTTTCATTTTTTAATTCATTCATTCAGACAACCATTTGTTGAGCAGTGTTCTAGGAAAGAGGGATGTATAAGACAGAAGCCTCCTCTCTCATTCTACAGACAAAAATCAAATGAGCCCTGGCTGGTTGGCTCATTTGGTTGGAGTGTCGTCATGTATGCCAAAAGGTTGCGGGTTTGATTCCCAGTCAGGGCACATACCTAGGTTTTGGGTTCAGTCCTGTTTGGGTGCGTATGGGAGGCAACCACTCGATGTTTCTCTCACATTGATGCTTCTCTGTCTCTCACCTCCCCTCTCTAAAATCAATAAACATATCCTCGAGTGAGGATTTTTAAAAAAGGCTTGAAACCCTAAACCAAGTTCAGATTTTAAAAAAAAATCAAGTGAGATAATTCTAAGTTGTGTGTGAGGAGGCCACTTTAGGGGTTCAGAGAGGCGTCTCTCCGAGAAGGTAACATTTGAATAAATGCAGCCATTTAAAAATCTAGGGAAAGCCCGGCTGGCGTGGCTCAGTGGTTGAGCGCTGACCTATGAACCAGGAGATTCTCGGTCAGGGCACCTGCCTGGGTTGTGGGCTCCATCCCCCATAGAGGGCCTGCAGGAGACAGCCGATCAGTGACTCTCATTGATGTTTCTCTCTCTCTCCCTCTCCCTCCCTTTCTCCGAATCAATAAAAACATATTTAGTATTTAAATTTTTAGAAAAGCTTAAAATCTGGGAAAAAAAGCTTTTCAAAACTGGGAACCCAAAGTGCAAAGCATGCAAACAAAAGCTCATCTAGGAGGGGATTAGGGAAAGAGGCCCGTGCACGGGGGGGACACCTGTGTTCTGGGGGTCCCAACAGGGGGGGCAGAGGGCTATGGGGGCAGGACGCCCCGGAGCACCCATAACCGCCCGCTGTGTTGCAGCGCCCCAGCCTGCAGCTGACTGAGGACCACGAGTGAGCCAGCGAGGGGACAGGGCCACCTCAGCCGCAGCCGCCGCCCCCTCCCCTGCAGGGACTCGGACCGCTACTGCCTGCCCCCCACTCCCGGGCCCGGCCCCTGCCCTGCTGCCCCTGGCCCACGCCTGGCTCCCCTACTAACCTCCCCCTCTTCCGCCCCTGGCCCGCCCCCCACCTGCCCGCTTTTATTTAT